TTTCCATCAGCCCTCCCACGTCCAGGCAACCTCCACCTGTCTGCCTCGGTGGCCCTCAGCCATCCCGTTGTTCCTCATATCTGTTCCTCTATACCCAGCAACTGTTTTCAGGGCATTTTGCAGGCCTGATCTGGGCTCTGGACTGGAATCTCATTGTACAGGAGACTAGACCTTGGGGTTGGGTGGGGGCTTTGTTCCTTAGATGGACCAGGGACTGACCCAGAGTGACCAGGAGCTCTTCTGACATCCAGCTTAGGATGGGTCTTGTCTTTTCACTGGAAATATGAGACGTGCCCTGTGCAGTGGCTCCTGAGCAGATGGCCCCTGCTCTCCAGGGCCATTCAGCTCCTTTAGGGAAGGCATACCAGGTGGTCACTTTAGTTGTGGCACCTCAGAGTCCAGGTCTTGAAGGTTATAAGGACTATCTAATATCTCTTAGCCTGGACGCTGGGGTCTGTGTGGTCTCGAGTTGATTTATGGGCCTTTTTGAATTACTCTTTTTTAGGAATACCCGTGTGAGTCAGACACGGTGGTATAAACAAAGAAGAAATGCCCATACGGCTCTCAGCCACCCCACTCTGAGAGCCTCTCAGCCAGGTCACACTTGCTCAGACATCCACCTGCTTGCTTTTCCTCCCAGAGCTCAGCCCTCCCTGTGTGCCCTGGGGCTGTCCACCTGCCCACTCTGCACCCAATTCACTGACCTAGTGTTACAACACCCACTTTTTCTGTCACCCCCTAGCAGGGACAGCCCTTAGGAACTTCAGCTCCGCTCCTAGGAGGAGGTAGCGGTCAGTGTGCTCTTGCCTCCATCATGAGATGTAGTAAATGTGGGGAAGGTGGGGGTGCTCACACCATGGAGAGTCCTGAGGTTGGACACTATTCCTGGCCTCATTAGCAGATGTTGGAGGTTCAGAGAAGTAAAGAATCTGTCTTTGGTTGCCCAGCAGTGCTGAGACACACCTCCAGGTGTCTGTCGAACTCGTTCTTTTCTCTAGAACACACAGCCTCTCTCTCTCTCTCTCTCTCTCTCTCTCTCTCTCTCTCTCTCTCTCTCTGTGTGTGTATCTACTCTTTGTATTGACAATTTTCTGAAGAGGGACATAAGGGACAGAATGTCCCCCTCCTGCCAGCTCTGTTCCCTGGCCAAGCGATGGGCTAGCCTTCCACCTCCCTCTCTTGCCCCTGGTCTGTTGAGGGCAGACCTGTGTCACTGGGAGACTATGTCAGCCAGAGAAGTGGATAGGCGTGGGCCTTTCAAGGCAGCTGCTATGGGAGGAAGGGTGCTTTGACAGACCTTTTCAAGAGGGTAGCTTCGCACAGTGGGAAACTGAAACCTGGGGCACCTCTTTCTTTGCTTTCTGCCACACCCGCGGGCCACCCGTTTCTCAGTGGGCTCCTCCCACTGACTCTCAGACTCTCAAGGTGGCCCCACAGCCCTGGCAGTCCAGGCCTGCTGTCCACTTCTGCAGCAAGCATAGCTGCCACCTCTGCCAGGAGGGTTCCCACAGTCCCCAAGACTTGAGGAAACCGCTCCTGACACACATAGTTGTAGCAGGATGCGAATGAACCCCTCAGAATAAATGTGACTCATCTCCTGAGCTGTGCAGGATATGTACTTCACACACGCACACACACATGCATGCGCACACACACGGATGCACACACATACATGTGTGCACACACACACGCACATGCACACGGGTTCCATGGCTGGCCCAGAAGATGCCAGCCTAGAGGATCATGCAGCTTGGGGCAGCTCTCCTCAGCCCCAGCTCTGACTCAGGGAGTCCCCTTGCACCTCTCTGCCATTGCCTGCCTTGGCTGCCAGGAGAGTCTTTGCTCTCAGAATATTTTCACTGAATATTTCATTCAGCACAGATCCCACAGCTCAGTGGAGACTGCAGGGTGTGGCTCTGAGATTTCTCTAGAAGGTAACAAGCTTCTCAGCTCCCACAAGCCCCCTTGACCTGGCCTTGACCAACATATCATGCCCAGGTGGCCATCACCCAATGCCATCCTCCTCCTCACTCCATGCTGTTTGTTCTGTCACATGGCTGACCCTGAGCGTGGCCATGTACACGATCATTGGGACTGCTGCATCATGGAGGTAGGCTTAGTTACAATAAATGCTGCTCAATAGGTATCTAAAAGGTACAGATAAAGGAGAATGCATGCTAAGTAGGTGTAAATAAACACTAGATAGAAACAGTTCAATATATAATAGATACTGCTAAATTATTTTTTAAATTGTAAGATTTCCTGTTGTTCCACAATCTAGCTAACACTTAGCATTATCAACATTTTAAATTTTAGTCAGTCAGTTGGGGTCCTGTGGCTATCTCTTTGTAACTTTAATTTTCATCTCTCTAATCACTGTTGAGATTCGGTTCCTTCAAGTTCATTGGCCACTGAGATGTTCTTGTGAAATACCTGGATTTTGCTCCCCCGACTTACAGCGCATTAACCCTGCCCCGTGTGTGTGTTTGTGTTGTGTGCTTATTAGTCTAGGGGTCTACATGTTTTTAGAGCCCAGAGGTCAATGTTTGGTGGTTTTCCTCCATCTCTCCGCTTTGTTTTGAGACAGGGTCTCTCACTGAACCTGAAGCTGTCCCCCTGCACCTGCTGCCGTGCTCACATTTTCACATGGACTACAGAAATCCAAACTCGGGCCTCATGCTTGTGTGGCCGTCAGTTTGCATAATGAGCCATTGCCACAAGGCTTGGTCAGTGTTTTGGTTTTGTTGTATTGAATGCCACATAAACAAGAAGACTTTCAGGAGTGGGTATTTTGAGACAAGGGCTCATGTAGGCTAGGCTGGCCTTGAACTTACGGCAATCCTTTGCTTCAACCTCTCTAGTGCTTGGGTTAGAGACCTGAGCCGCCATGCCCAGCTATATTTTTCTTTGAAGGATTAATTTTTTGGTTTGGTTTTACTGTTGTTGCTTTTGAACTCCCTATGTAGTTGACTCCTGTTTTTGACTCCTGAATGTGGGTTTGCAGGCATATATCATGCCTGACACAGATATTCCTTTTGTGTCAGTTTTTTGTTTGTTTGTTTTGTTTTTGAGAGTGGGAAGAGTTGGATCTTGTGTAGGCTGACGTCAAACTCCATGTATAATCAAGGATGACCTTGAACTTCTCATTCTCTTGCCCCCACATCCCAAGTGCTGGCGCTGAAATGAATTCATGAGGTGTAGGGAATTGAATCGAAGTTTTATGCATGCTAGGCAAGCAGGAACTGACCCGTACTCCATCTCTAGGTCATTCTTCCCCTTTAATCTAGACCCTTCCGCCATCATTGCTGTAATGGTGTGGGGCAGGAGTCTGTTCCGACATGGACGATCAACTGAACCAACACCAGTCATTAAAGCCTGACTTTACCCTGTGTTTGTTATAAACCACATGTCTATTGGTGTCTGGCTTCCGTCTTCTAACCAGCAGGCCTGGTCATTTATCCACACACAATGCCACACTGTTTTAGTTAGCTTTATAATTGGCATTAATATCCAGTAAAGCTGGGGTGGGCTGGGTAGATGGAGAAGGGGGAGACTCAACCAAAGTAGAGGAGGTACAGAAATTCCATAATGAAGCCTGCTACCTTGTATGCCAGTTAAAAGAAAATTAAAATAGCACAAAACCAAAAGGTACCCACTAAAGCAACTCCTCCCATTTCATTCTTCCTCTTCTTCACTGTAAACAGCTGTCTTTCATTCTTCAGTTTCTATAGTTTCTGGGGAAATTAGACTGTTAGACACACACACACACACACACACACACACATACACACACACACACACACGCCAGAACTTTGTTACAGTTGTTTGCATTGGGTCTGTCAATCAACTTGAAGCCGACTTCTTCAAAACACTGAGTCAACCAGGCCATGAACAGCGTCTGCCCCTTCATTTCCTTTAGCTCATTTGAATCCCTCTTAGCATGCTGATGGAGTAGCTCTCCAGTAGCTTGTTTGATGAAGCAAGGGGTGGGGGATGGATCTTGCTATAGCACGGCAATGCCTACCTTTCCGTAGAGATGTAGTCCCAGAGCCCTGAAATGGCCTGGTCAATTGCCCAGCCAGAAGAGGGCAGAATGATGACTCAGACCACCTTGCTCAGACAATCTGGACCTCTCAACAGAGGATGCTACAACACGCAGGCACATAGTGACAGGTCCAGGGGTGGCTAGAATCCTGAGGTGTGGCTGATGACCCACTCCTTCAGTACCCAGAGGCATGTGTCCCTTGGCCATCTCCACTGCACAGACTCAGAAACAAGGCATGTGACCCACACAGGGTCAACCAGTCAGCAAGGGCAAACCTGTGCTTGAAGTTGGGCTCTTGAGTGACCCACAATTCTCTGTTCTAATTTTCCTTCAAAAGTCCGAACCTCTGGGGCCAGTTTTCTACAACCCCAGGAAGTTGTGCAGATTCTGGCTGCTCCAGGTAGGACAGGCTAGTCCCTCTGCAAACTCTCAACCACTTTCAGGGCCAAGAGGAAGAAAGCAAGGGCTCCAGGTCAAACTGGGTGGGCTTCTAGGCCTACCTGTGCCACGGCTGGCTGAGTGACCCTAGATACGTTTCTCTCCCTCTCTGAGCTTCCTAACATAGTGCAGAAATAGCAGCAGCCCTTGCCTTGCCATAGGAGAGGAGGATTTAAGTAAGGGACAGACAAGGGGGCCTCGGAAGCAAGTCCTCTCAACCCTCGGCTCCTTTTCTTACCTCACTGCAAGAGTTGCCCTGAGGTTCAACAAACCAGAGCCCAGATGTTCAGTGTCTCTTCCTGCATGACCACAAGTGCTACCCACATGTGCTGGACCTTAGCATTCCCCATTTAGATAAAGAGACACTTTGATAGGACTTCATCCTTAAATGATTGCAATCTTAGCACGTGCAAAGGGCTTAGGGGGCCTTGTGTCATGGAAGGAAACATTGAGTCTGAGTACCCATGACCCAGGCCGTGGCAGAGCTACCCCCATGGGATTTTAGGTAAATTCCCACCTTGGCGTGAACATCCATCAAACTTGGTTGAAACATCTTTGGATAATAACGATCTTCCTGTGGCCCTTAGGTGAGCTCCCACTCCGGCTATCTTCAGGACCAAACATGCATCTGTAAGCAAACAAGGAAAACCATGGCACAGGTTTATTTCTCTTTTCATCTTGACTGCTGGGTATGTGTTTGCTAGATTCTGTGCCATGTAGAAGCGATTTACTCATTGAGGGCCGTGCAGCCGGAGTAAATCTTGGAGTCAGAGAAACTCAGACCCCCTGGCTCCTCTGCTTAGCATTGTGGCAGGGGCATTATCTCTCCGAGTCTGCCTCCTCCCCCATAGAGAAATGAGAACCCTGAGTTCTACCTTCTTCTGACTGAGTGAGGCTGACAGTGACCCCACTTCATCTCTGAGGCTGTTTCCTTTCCTGAGAGGTTCATGGTCACTTTGGCAGGTGGTGGCAAGGACTCAGAGGGTGCTGCCAAGCTCCTGTACCCGGCTGCTGGCACTTTGTAAACAGCAGTTAATAAACGGAGGGGTTATGAGCCTGAGGTTTGCAAACTGACCCGAGGTTTTTCCTTCAATGCTGAGGACCAAATCGAGGGCCTTGTACATGTCAGGCAAGCACTCTGTCTTGGTATTATGAGACAAGAGCTTTGCTCTGGAACCCAAGCTGACCAGGAACTCACAGACCTCCTGCATCCTTCCTGTGGCAAGTGTAAAATAGCTTTGTAATTTAACGACAGCCTGGATTCTGACTTTTGGAGTTGGTGGATGTGTCTGCGATGGGCACTCCCAACTCAGGTGCGTCTTTGCAGGTGTTCCTACTGCTGCCAGGGATAGACTTATCAGAGCTGGCCCCGCGGGTGCAGAGCCAGGGTCAGGCCTTCCACTGCCCGCTGCTCTAGGGGCTCCTGACATTGTACAACCACAGTGATGCTTACCCAGAGCCTACAGCCCATGTGAGGCTGGTTCCAAAGGAGGGCAACAGCCTCACTGTGTGCTTGGTGGGGCGGGTGACTGTGTGTTGAAGAGTAGCTAGACAGAAGGTCCTGGCCAAAGCCATGGTATTCCACATGCCCCGCCTCCTCGGCCCTGTGGGGATGCTTCTGACCTGCCATTCATTCCCATAGGCTCCAGTGCCCTGGCCCTTGATAGAGCTGTCTTTTCTCACTTTCGAGGCATGCTGGAGCCAGTCTGACCTGGGCAGCCACGCCCACTCCTCTTAGCAGCTTAAGGCCTGAGGTGAGAGCCTCCACTTTCTGAGGCTCTGTGTCTGAGACTGAGTTTGCAGGCTGTCTTCTTTGGTGTGGTACGACCCATCTAACTGGAGAGGCGGGAGGGGGTCACAGGATGCAGCTATGGTCACAGAGCCCCAGGTGCAGCACATGAGAGGGGGCCCTACATCCCCCACCCCATCCTTTCATGCTTCTGCCCCAGGTCTGGTCCTGGATCTCCTAACCCAACAGACAGAGGTTCCACACTTTCTCAACTGGCCCTTCTGAGGAGCTGGATTGGAAGGGACTACAGACGCCATAGGGGATCAGCATGAATCTGTGGTTTTTCTAGCCTGGGACTCTAGAATGGCCCACCACGGTGAATTTTGTAAAACTGTAGAACATAGACACCCTTACAGCAAAGCTGTTTCTCACCTCCTGCCACAGTGGTCTCTCTACCTGGTCAAGCCACTGGCCCCGCCTTCATGTAACAGTTTAGCTTTATATATTTGGTTTTCAGGGGTGGGCTCCAGAGCCAAAGCAAATTCTAGAATGAGCAAATCAGCCTATACAAGAGCGGCCATGCCCTTGGCTACAAGACTACAAATTTGTGTTTTAATGCATTGCTTATTTTTGTTTGCTTACTTTGTCCACGCCTGTCACTCTAGACGAGTGGGTGGGACTATTGTCACTGCCGCTCACCCCTTTGAGAATTTTTTTTCTTCCTCTCCCTTCTCTGTCTTTGGCCTCACTTCCTTCTTTTCTGCCTCCTCACAGTAGAGCCAGGCCTCTGTACACTGAGTGGTGGCCAGCTCTGTGTGGGGAGCTGGGGATGCATGTGTGTTTGGGTGGCATAGGAAAGGGCAGGAAGGCAGCACCTGCTGTGAGCAGGCAGCTGAAACAAGACAAGGTGCAGAGGGACCTCAGTGAATGAGCAATTACCATGAGTACCCAAACATAAGGCAGTCTATACTCTATCTAGACTCTAGCTAGAGGGTCACCTCCATTCTCCCCAAGAGCCCACGCATGTAAAGCTGAATAGTCCAAAATCCAAGAGGGAAGCCGGACCGTCAAGTGTCCACTTACAGGGTCGGGTCTTACACATCCATATTTTAAGTTCATCTTATTGAGCCCATTAATTTGGAATTCTGGATCTTCAAGAAATTCTTTGATCCAGTTCTCTCCTGTGGGGTTTGTTACTATGTCACCATCTGGCAGGGGCAGTATTTCCCGAAGCACATCTTCACGGGCTGGAGAGGCTCAGTCTCTGCCTTTCAGACCCACGAATCCCACGCGGACACCTCCTGCACTGCACCAGGACGGCAGGGGGCTCGGTGGCTGCAGGTGACACACAGCCACTCGCTGGGGCCCTCTGAAAGCGGTCTTTAAAAGGCTGGTCAAGAGCAGCCTCCCTCCCTGCCATCACGGAGTCCTTTTGCCTTGAGTCCTTTTATCTGAGTGAAATTCCTCAAGTCCTTTTATAGCAATGGCGGCCTCTATAAGCACCCCAGGCTCACAGAGAGTGAAGGCCCACCCAGCCAATGTACCTTTCCCCCATCAGAGTTTGGGGTGAAAAAAAAATAATTCGGAGCACTTGTATTGAGAAAAAGAAACTCAGTACAGAGTAGGTCTGGATGCACTTCCTGGAGGGGAGGGGGTGGGGACATCTGAGAAGCCAAGGCAGAGGCTCTCCCCAGAGCACCCGTGTTCTTCGCACAGTTTCTAAAGGAGCTTGCCCTCAGCTACTGGGAGATAAGTTTGGGCATCTCTTCTACTCACGGAGCCTCAGTTTACCATGTCTGTGATGTGGAGACGATAACCCTGCTTCGACAGCGGTAGGAATACACAGCATGGGGGAAACTGGAGCAAAGGTTAGGGACTGGGACTCCTCACACAGTTACATCTTCCCCACCTTGGTGTTCCAGTCTAGGAGTCTGGACCAGAGAGGCACAGGCTAGCTGACTTCAGTGTAAGAGACTAGCCAAGGCTGAAAGGTTCTGAGAAAAAAACCTATGAGGGGGCTAATTCACGAGAATGTTTGCCCTCCCATATACATTGCCCACCTCACACACAACCGCATTCTCTCCCAAACCTCCAACCAATGCTACCTAACACCCTCCATGTTGTTGCTGAGTTTGATCACTGCGTGATCTTGATTGCTAATCTTTCCTATATCAACCACTGCTGTCCCTTCCTGAAAAGCAGAGACTGTATCTTGGGGCTCAGCACAGGGCCTGATACATAGGCTGTAGCCAGTATTTTAATGAAGTGGGGGAATAGTGAGCTAATGACTGAGTCGATGCCCCTCCCTATCCTTGCGTACCTCCTAGGTATGTGGCCCATAGAATGGAGAAATTCCCAGGCTCCACAGATCACCCTGGCTGGACTGCCATGGAGTCCTTGACACTGCGCGACCTGCCCGTGTGACCATCACCCCTGGAGTCGGCGCACCGCCCAGAGTGGCCCAGCGCCCGGCAGCCGCTCCCGAGGGGCAGAAAGAACCCGCGCAACCCGCGCGGGAACGGCAAGGACTGGAGGCCAGCCCCGCCTCTCCCACGCCCCGCCGGTGCAAACTTTCAAAAGACGCGGCGGTGGCGGCGGCCCCGCCCCGGCACG